AGGCTGTGTGCCCCACACATGCCCCACACACCGCACACGCTGCGCGCCGGACTGTGCGCCCCACGTGCACCCCACGTCCAGCCCCGAGTCCTAGCAAAGTCCGGCTTTGAGCCTGCCTGCTGAGGGTTTTGCGTGGGGGCCCTTCCACATTGTGTCTCACTTGGTTACTTAAGTGGAAAACAAGCAGTCTGGCCCCGGGATCCGCAGGGCTGCGCTGGGGTGCAGCCTTCTCTTTCACGGGAAGGTTTGCTGATCTAGCAGTGATTTCTGTGTGAGGAGGCGTTTCCTGGTGCGTTCAGCCCTTGTAAACACGTTAGTGTGTTTGTCTGTCGGAAGGTACCAAGCGTTTTTAGAGGCACATTTAAGCAGTTCTCAGTAAGTACTGATGCAAAATTCTGTTCTTCGTAGCGCTTGCTCCAGTGAAATGACACTTTTCCCTTCTCAGCGTAATCTGTACGAGTCCATTCAGGACAAGTGTTAAGACTTGCAGAAAAGAACAAAGGCCTTTCCAGATGCGCTGAGTTCTTACTGTAAGCAAGGGAGTGACGATTATTAAGTACATGTGGGGAAAAAGCAGATAAAAATCCAAGGTTTTAAAAACAAATTGTAAGAATTTTGGAAGTCTTAGCTGAGAGAGCTAATAAGGCAGAGTATAGATGCCCAAGATGGACAGCCGGAATTTGAGAAAAATCAGTAGTTATGGTCCCAATTGATATGCAATGAGTCTACAAATAGAGCCATGTAGCCGTAGGCCTGACAGCCCTGTGACAGACATTGCCCTCTGCCCTGTATGTCCTATATTGTGATTTTTTTGGGGGGGGGGGGGGGAGGGAGGAGGGTTACTGCATTTCAATTATCTCCCTCTGCAGAGGGAGAAGGAAACAGAAGTAGACCGTGAACATTGCAGCTGCGGGAGTATTGCAGTGCAGTAAAGAGAGGGGTGCAACCTGCGCCAAGTGCCTCCGGTGCAACGCCGGGGTGCTGTTTGCTCCTATAGCAAACACTAAAGTTTCCAGCCACTTCAAATTAAACCATTAGTGGACTGTCGCATGAGTAAAACTTCCAAATCTATTGGAAAAAGTGCTGATTCCCAAACCATACTAAAATACTCAGATTCAGCCTTTACTCTCCCCACCTCCCCTTTTCTTTTCTTTTCAATTCCTTCCTCCTCTGAGCAATCCTTAGCAATCCTGCAAGGCCTCCTGGAGGGGGTGGCAGGATCAACCCCAACATGCTTGTTAGAGTAACAAGGCATCAAGATTAGTATTTCTTCTAAGATCATGTTGTTTACTGCCTGTTCTACTAGTTTCTAACTCTTTTCATGAAGCGATGTGTAGAAGTCTGCTTGGATATCCTGTTAGCTCGTGCAGTGATGTCGCAGGGAATTGTCTACTAATCCTTTAACTTTGATAAGTCAGTGCTTCCCAGGGAAAGATAATTCCACATGTCTTTACAGAACTGAGTCTGGAAATATTTGACAAGAACAGATGTGTTTGGAAAACAAAATACGTTTCTTCTAATACAGAAGTGTAGCGGGCCAAACTCGGTTATAACCGATTACAAAAATGCACCCTCAGACTCATCCTGAAAAGAATCTAGCTGTGGTGTCAATGTCTGCTCTTCATGTTTGTTTTACTCACTGCTAACGAATCAAAATTTGCCAAAAAAAATCAGACAGGTTTTGCTTGAATATGAGAGATCAAAGTGAGAAACTTAGGTGTGATCCAAATTCTCCAGTGGCTTTGGAACGAAGCTCCAGCGTGGACCTATAGGTGCAGGTGCTGAAAGAAGCCGTGCTAGCACGTCTTGAGTTTGCAGCTAAGTATTTTAGAAAAACATCCAGGTAAGAGCGGTCCTTCGCTGGTACGCAGGAGTCTGATAGCTACTGGAAAGTGCCGCTGCCTTTGTGCCGATGCGTGCAGGTGTCTGAAGGCGGGTGATTTTTGGAAAATTAACTTTTTGCGGGAAAGAAGATCAGCGAGCTGCAGGACTGCTGCTCAGGTAGAGGGTTACTTGTTTGCACTGTAGCTTTGCTGAAATGCTTTTTATCGCACACAGTGAAACTCATTCAGCAACTCGTGTTTTCCCTGTTTGAGTAACAATATAGCAGGGATTGTGCTCTGCTCACTTCACTCAGGCAAGATGTCCTGTTAAGGCAATAAAAGGTAACTTTTAGTAAATTACGACCTTTTTTGACTTAGGAAGTTTTACGCATCTTGAAACAATGTCTATACATGTTGCATCCTTCCAACTTCTGAGCGCATTGATACTGTGTCACGTTTATATTCCTCTTTGGCAAATAAAATCTGTAGCTCTGGCAATCACCGTGAGATCCTGCGTAGTTTCCAAAGAGGTGGGAGGGTTTTGTTGTTTGTTTTTATTATTTACTTTCAGCTAATTAGGACCAGTTGTTTTGGTCGCTTATGAGACTATCAGAAGCTGCTGCTTTACTAGGGCGATGCTATGTGGTTTGGGATGTATGCCTCACTTACAAATTAAATGTCTTGGTTCTGGTATTGTTAAAATAAAAAGTGAAAAATCCCACAGCTTTGAATTTCGTGCCAGATACTCAACAAAGCTTTCATTCCATGTATCGTTATATTGTGGCTTGAGAACTAGCAGGCCTGGTCTACGCTTAATAGTTCTGCTGGCATGGCTGTGGTATGATGTTTCCCCTGCCATCCCTAAGTGATATAGTTATGCTGGCAAATGTCCTAATGTACATGTAGCTACACTGGCATAAGATTCCTTTTGCTTGTGTAACTTTTTCTATTTGGGAAACTGGTTTAAGCTGTTCCTCTTCTAGGGAGACAGGCTGCTAGGGATGTACCCATATCTGCATACCCTTCTGAAGAGTAGAAAAGTCCATAAATACACAAGAGGAAGAGATCAGGTAGGCTGAAGTTGTGTGTGCAGGGCAGTTTCACCAAAGACTTCTTTTTTCATCTGTATCTCTTTTTTGTATTGTGTAGCACTTAGGAGAGCCAGTGAAATTCAGGGCCCTGTTCTTCCCACGTTTCCAAAGCGTTGGCTCCTTTTCTGTTGCTGCAACTGTATTTCATACCTCTTTTGCTCTTGTAACAGGACAAGCCTAAATTAAATCCCAGCCTCCAGATGAGTAGCATCAGCTGAGCTTGTGCTCTCCGCAGTGGGCAAAGGCATCTAGGTAGCAGATGGGAACCAGGATGCAGACTGGGATGTTATCCAGGCTTGGCAGGCTGGGATTCAAACTGGCCCTCTGAAGTGGTCGAATGGGGCCTCTCTTCCTCTTTTTATTTGTCCTGCTTCATTTAGCTTCTAGCTAGACTCTAACACTAAACCTGAATGTTTCTCCCGTGACACTGGCATGCAGTTCCCTGTTTGCCACCTTCTGAGATGGTGACAAATTTCCTTTATTTATTCTATAGTGTCAGTAACCTTTACATTATTTATAGGCTGTGATCGTGTCCCTCCTGAGATAGTTGCAAGATAAATTTAGCTCCCTTAGCTTCTCATCGTCGTATGTCTTCACGTCCAATCCTCACCGACTTTCGCTGTCTTTCCTTGTATCAAATGAGATGCTGCCTGTGAGCATGAACTGCAGTAATTAGTGACTCACTTTCTATGCTTATCTGGGAGAGACGTCATGTCAAATGAATCTTGATCATTCAGGGACTGGCAAGCCTGTCCAAACGTCCATTTCCAAAAGACAGCCCACATTGGAGCGGTGGGAGATTAGATAGAGGAATGCAGAAAGAGCCGGCGCAGGAATGTATGCTGATGGGACCTTTGCATTTAGTGTCTGCTAAGGGTGCCGACCGGATAAGAGGAGGGGGAGTTGTAGCAGGAGGGAGCCGTGGGAGTGCTTGGAGATCTACGGCTATACAGCCATGCTTCCCCGTGTCTTGTTAGAGCTGTGTAGGGGGACCATCATCCTGGCCTAGTTTTCTCTTCTGATGAGGCTGTGGGTCAGCACAACTCTAGTTTAAGTGCCAAGTTTTCCCAGGTGTTTCAAACCCTTAAGTGTAGTGTCCTTCACAAGAGCCTTTTTGAGTGTTTCATACTCCTGTTGAACGTTCAGAAGTTAATTAGCGGTCTAGTGGGGAGTGGGTTTTATAATGTTCCTATCATCAAGGTAGGAACCCACCCAGAAGATGCAGAAATAAACAGTCCCCAAACTTGAAATAAATTACTTGGTTTTTGTAGCTTCAGTGTGAGTTCTGCTTGTTCTCCAGTGAGATTTGAGTCCCATGTTCTCTGGTGAGCTGTGGTCACTGAAGGTGGAAATTGTGGCTCCAGTGAGGTTAGCGACAGTTCTGCCACTAATTTCAGCTGAGCCATTAATTCACTTAAGAAAGGCTATGGATGGTATTGGACAGGGAGAAGGATGTTTGTTCTGCCTGTCCACCAACATAGCTGAAAATGAGTCTGCAGTGAACTGAAATCTGTGCAGAACAAGAGCATGAGCAGACCGTATGGCTCTGGACTGGAGTAGTAGAGGGTTGGATGTGTGTCCTGCTCTGCTACCTCTGCTGGAGAGCATAGATAAACACCGATCTTTGGTAATATCCGAGCAAAGCAGCTTAACTGACCAAAGCTCATCTGCCAGATCCCTAAGCTGAGACTGAGCTTTCTATCTGATAGTCTGGGATATCCAAAAATACAGTTGGAACTAGCAAAATTCACTGATTCCTGCCAGATCAGTGGCTCAGTAATCAGTGTGTCTAGCTTAATGTTGAAAAATAAAATGTCATCTGTTCCGTGATAAAGGATGCTATATGGCAGCAGGGATAGATGGTTCATCTGCAGCCTTACTGAGAAGTCCTCCTCTTTCCTTTCTCAGCTCTTAGTGTACACTGCCCTTTGGATGAGAGCAGATAGCCTTGCTCCTGCCAAAGTGACGTTCTTGATGCGTAAGAAATGCAGGCTAATGTCCTAGTGAAGGCGGAAACTTTTGCCCAGAAAAGGGCACGCTATTTGACTTAAGAGTGTTGGGACTTGCTCTGACCTCTTTGCTTTCTCTTCCTGCCTTCTTCAGGCTCCTGGAACCTTTCCAGCCTCAATGGACTGCCAAGAGAGCGAGTATTTGGACGAGCATGGGAAGTGCACCCCGTGTAGAACTTGTATGCCTGGACAGGAGCTTTCCAAGGTAATTTTGCTGCTCCATAAGGACCAGGAATCATCTAGCACCAAGACTGTCATGGTGCTAGACAAATCCTCTGCTAATTTTTATTAGGAAAGATAATCTTAGGTCCCAGTATTTTAGGAAGAGCAGAGACTCAGTAGCCAAGGAAGGCAAGCAGCTTCACTCACCTCCACGTTGAGCACTGGGTAGGAGGGTGAGCAGTGGAAGTAACAAACAGGAAGGAGTTTCAGGTTGATGCTCAGAAGCCTCCTTCTCTCCTATCTGCTGGTGGAAATCCAATTTCCTTCCAGTGTGTAACCCCAAGTAAAGTGATGGCTCTGGACGGTCCAGCCAGGCCATGCTGGGTGGATATGAGCAGGACACTTGGGTGAAGTCCATGAATCTGGCCCAGCCTTGGCAGTGTCAGTTCATGGTTCTTGACCCACGGATACCAAGCTTTGTGCCTTCTACCAACAGTCCTTCCTGGGGTTCCTTCTCTCACTAAAACACGTTCCAATGACTGAGGCAACCAATGACTGGGCTATTGCTGGGCAAAAAAAAGGCTTCCTCATTTTTCTTTGTGAGATCAGGTCTGTCATTGTCTGCTTTGCAGCTGTGTTCTGAGGGTCTTTCAGGTCTCTGCATAAACAGTAACTCTTTCACTGTTTGCCCCCAAAAAAGCAATGGAATTTCCCTCTCTGTCACTTTGGGACCCAAAGTGACTTCTCATCCCACTCATGAACTCAACCTTGTGTCTTGCAGGACTGTGGTGATGGTGGAGGGGGGGATGCACAGTGCGTTGCTTGCCCTCCCAGGAAGTTTAAGGATAGCTGGGGACATCATGGCTGCAAACCCTGTCTATCTTGCACTCTCATCAACCGTGTCCAGAAATCCAATTGCACAGCGACTACCAATGCGGTCTGTGGGGAATGCCTGCCGGGGTGAGTAGAGCTGGCTCCTCAGCGTGAAGAGCAACGGTAGCGTTTGCAGCTGGGAGGGAACATGTAGAGAGGGCTGGGCAGAGCGAGCATTTATCTGAGGCCACTTGTCACATGATACTAAAGAGGTGCCCTGGTGCTCCTGGACCTGGTGGTCCAGGGCTTCCTCTTTGAAGACACTGCAAATGATAGGCAAATGTGACCCATCAAATGCCCCCTTTATAGCCCTGAAGAAGGTAATCTGATGGGTCCTGTAAATGAGCAGAGGAAGAATATCCCTTCCAGGCCTAAATTACTGCTGTGCACAGTGGGATGGCTAAAGCCCAGGAGACGAGGGCATGTAGATCACTACTGTTAGTAGTCTCCAAAGAGAGCAATAGAGGCAAAGCCTAGACAGATGAGTTCCTGTGTCCAAGCAGTCCTATGGAGGAAGCTGTGGTTTCTGCAACTGTTGTGTGTGTGTGGTTTTTTTAGTTAATTTTTTAAGAGTTACTGAATGAAGACTGCTGTGTACAATCAGCCTGTAAAATGCCACGGAGCTGTAAACCATTTACTGACAAACGGTATGAGCTGTGACAGAGGAATGAATGTCAGAGCCTTCCCAGCCAGACTTGCTAGCTGGAGTTCTTCTGTGATTTTGTTGATCTATCCACCCTCTTTTAGCAAGACATGGGGGGCTGTCCAGGAGTGATTCTTGGTAAAGGTGGCTACAGCAATGAAAAAGTAGGTCTGAATTTAGCCAGCGTGTGAGACAGATGTTGTGCTTTGTGGCTTCTCAGCGTGCCGTGGCACCAAGGAAGATGGACTGGTTTTCTCTGGGCTGCCTCCTGGTAAATGAAGCAACATGTTTTTTCAGAGCAGCGTTGGGCCAGGCTTTAAGCCAGCCAGCCCGCTGGAGTAGCGCAGGCTGACAGCGGCTGGGGAGCGCCGGGTCCCTCGGCCCATCGCGTGGCTGATACGCTCTGCGCTTTGTTTGGCAGGTTCTACCGTAAGGCCCGGATCAGCGGGCAGCTCGACTGGGAGTGCATCCCTTGCACCAAGCAGACGCCCTCCTCCGAGCCTCAGTGTACGTACTCAGCAGCCCTTCTGCCTGCTGCCGTTCTCTACTCACGGGACGCCGAGCTGCTTTTAGGATAAAAGGAGTGGTGAGGACGTCCCCTAGAGCAGGTTCATGGTTAAGTCGGCATGTTAAGTCCACATCCTATCACTAGTCATTGTGACTGCATCAAAGGCAGACACAGACTCAGATGTGTATTTGCACTATTCTTTGACCATTTTTCCTTGTTGGCCAGCTTACTTAGCTGGCAAAACCACCAAAACACTGCCCGGTGGAGACCTGCTGGAGGAAGCACGTTCATTATGTACGAAGAGGGAAGGGACAGGGAGAGGAGTGGCCTAAAGCCTCAGAAATGAGCTCCAATATTTTGTGACCGGTGTGTTTGCAGGTCGGTCCAGAACAAACCTGGTGAAGGTAGCAGTCCCCACTGTACCACCACAAGACACAGCCCTTCTCGCACTGACCAGCAGTGCCCTGGTCATCATTGTACTGGTACTTCTGGCACTCTCCATCATCTACTGCAAGCGTTTTTGGAAGAGCCAGTGCCAGCGAGGTGAGTCAAAGTATACAATATTTCTCTGTTTCTTCTTCCTTTACCCTCTTCTGTTTGCACATGTTCTTCACTCTTCCCTTGTTGTGTAGAGCATAGCCATTAGCATTGGTTTTGTTGAAAGCATGAAGTGAACCAAGCTTTCCTCTGCTCACAGAGGATAAACAGCTCCTCATACTTTTTTCATCTGCAGGACTTCTCTGTTGCTTTTTCTGCCCAAAGACATGGAGGAGCCTTTCTCTTCCCTAGTACCATAAGTAGTAGAAGGAGACTGTGCCATGCTTTTATTGTCAAAATCGGCATTCTCTCTTCCTGGGGTTTCTTAAGGGCAGGCTGAGTCTGAGTGGCTTTTGGCAGGGCAGGACTAGAGCGCTAGGAAGTGCTGAGGCAAGAGAGGAGTAGGCTTGATAGCTAGGGTTGGGGTACGCTGGCATCCATCACACAGTATACCGGAGAACTGCTGGCTTCCCCAGCTCCTCACAGGCAGACATACCACATAACTGAGGACATTCTAGGGAAATAAGCCAAGCCTTCGCTCAGACTGGTTCTTCTCTATCCTCCAAGTCTTCCTGAGGACTCAGAATTTCTCAGGCCAGCGAGCAATGTTCCCAGCCTCAGCTGCGCCCGGCAGATTTCTGTGTGAAGAACAGATGTCTGGTCCCTGCTGCCTGGGTGTGAAGAACCTGAGTCCGTGCTACAGGCAGGCAGAAGGTAACTGCTCCTTTTTTTGGCGGGAGATGAGGGTAGAGGGTGAAGGGAGAATCATGCTTGGCTCTGATTCACACAGTCTTGAGACATGCAGAGTTTCTGTTAGGAAGGAAGGAGCTGGAAAGTATCAAAGTTCCAGCAAAATGAAGCATTTTCTCATGATGCCAGTTCCTTCTAGGATCAACCCTGTTGTGGCCCCTCTTCAGCGCAGAGCTCAGTGCTGCCAAGGATCTTCTCCTAGGGCCTGTGTGGAAAGCAGAAGTCCCCGTGAATTCCACTGCAAGACGCACAGGAGATAGGCAGTGTTTTGGGACTTCTCTTAACAGTCAATTGCAGATTTTGTACTAGCAGTGGAAATATTCACATTCAAGTGCTGTAGCTTCCGTGTCTCCCTCCAGTCAACTCCTGCTGTCACTGTAACCCTGCAAGTAGGACTGACTGAACTTGAGGAAATGCATGAAAATTGCCTTGTTCAGCAGTGGCATGCTGGGGTAGAAGTCTGACCGCTTATGGAGGGCTCTTTACCCCTCTGTCCACTGGACATATGGAAGATGAGGTTTAAAGGATAGGCTGGTAGACCTCTGAAAAGGGGGAAGCGCAGCAGAGGAAGGGAGAACCCAAATATTACTAAGCTGCAGAGATTTTTTGATTTCAGGCCCAGTGGAAGCAGTTCAGTTCATTTCAGATGGAGAAGCCATTGGTCTTCAACTCCCAGCTCTCCAGCCTGAACTGGAAGTGCCTCAGGCGACTGCCATCAGCCCTGCTCCCAAATCCCAGCTGGTGAGGAGCGTCCTGGAAACTCAGCCCCTGATCAGGAACTCAGGCTGCAGCGACTGCTTGGCGGGGGTCTTGTCTCCCTCTGACTTCAGGCAAGGCCCAGCCGGGGTGGCAGAGGCCCTGGCCCCTCTCTCATCGTGTGCCTCAGAAATGCAGCACAAATGGCCCCATGCCCCGGTAGAGTGTACGGAGCTCGATCTGCAGAAGTTCTCCACCCAGACGGACTTCGTGGGCAATGAAAGATCAGAGGATGCGGTGAGCCGAGTGGCTCAGAGAATCACAAAAGAGAACAACAGTGGAGTGCTTGAAGCAAAGAACGGACTCGTTTTGGATCTGACAAGGGGCCTGTCCTCAGCCTTCCAAAATCCTACTGCTGAAAGTGCAGAACAACCGGTAAGTTCTTCCATGCTCATCTCTTCTCTACAATAGTGTTGGCCATAATGGGCCTCATACGCAGAAGGCTGGAACTACGGGTGGATTAGGGATGTAGATTCCTAATATTAAAGCTAATTAATATCTAGGACTGCCTGGTAATTAGCACAAATGATTAGCCAGATGTTTACTGATGTGTTTGGGAGCAGATGAGGCCCATTTTCTGTGGGTCGGGCAAGAGGCCTGGAGCAACTGGTGAGACAGCTTAAGTCCAGCCTGTCTAATAGAAGAAAATAATTGTGTTCTTATGGGTGATTTTTTTTTTTTTGTGAAGTGGATGTGACTGGGCACTAAAGGTGGCATAAGGCTGCCAGCACTTGAAGGAGCAGAGTCAATGTATTGACTATATAAGCATATCTTTATGCATAATTGATGCACTCTTGAGAGATTCTTGTACTCTTGCTCATCTAGAAAGCTGACATGGCACCTGAAGGCACTGGTTCCTATCCCTTACCAGTTAGTTTGAAATGAACCAAATGATTAACGTAACTGAGGTTCGGAAAATGGCTGGTAAAGAAAGGTATTTAATAGCTTAGCTCCAGGTCATGATTTATGGAAGCGGTTTGCTAGGAGGCCCTGGAGCGTCCTGAGGAGGTTGTTAGCTCTGTGCGATGGTAATGCAGGATGGACAAGTACCAGTTCTTTATACCTCTGTGAAGGTCCTAGGAGCACTGGCAAGCACAACTGTTGCTCATCAGACTGTTTCCAACCTTGGGGTCTTTATTTTGCCAGGAGAACGATGCCCAGAGCCTTCTGACTCAGATCAGCAGCACTACGAAGGGTAAGTGTCTTTGTAGCCTCATCTTTTTCACCAAATATTTGGGGTAGCAGAGGGAGACAAATTCTTGGAAAGGAGCTCCTCCAGAGGCCCACCGTGGCTATGCAGAGGAGCCAACCTTCTCAGGGATTTATCTGACTTCCATAGCCTTTGGTGTTAGTTTACAGAGTAGATTTTCTGTGATACTGTCTGGAACGGCCTGAGGGTGGGTGGTGAATGGACGCTCAGCTTCTACCTATTACCAGCCTCCACAGGACCGAGAGCCAGCTTCGTGTTGCTGGGCTCTGAAAGTAACAGTGGAGGAGATACTGCCATGGCAGGATGGTGTTTCACCTGCTTAGCAGGAGCCGGGGGGCTTTAACGTGGCTACTTTGTTTATTCTTGTCCCAGCTGGGTATGTTGGTTTCTAACCCTACTTTGCTGTATTGCTGCCCCCAGGTCTCCTAGTGGCAGAGCTGCCTCATTCCTTGGTGCAGTCACTTGCCTTCTTGTTAGACCCTTCCTTGAATGGTGTGAAGAATTTCAGCCACGTGGCACTGGAGCTGGGGGTCACACCGCAACTGTTGGGCAGGATATCTGGATTTGAGCAACTCGTCACTCACTTCACCTACTCAGGAGACACTGTCACCATTCCTGTCCTGGCGCAAGCTCTGCAGCGACTCCAGCGGTTTGATGCCTTGCTCCTGCTGTGTGATCACTTTGCTCTCAGCCGGGTTCAGGGCCGCCAGTGCTAAGAGGAGACAGGGAAAGGACAGAGGAAACTCCACGCACTGTCTTTACTGGTAGGAGAGAGGATCTGGTAGCACCGTGGTCACATAATCTCTTCAGTGTGCATGTGGTGATTATGTGGAGATGGTCTTTGCATCGTGGAATAGAAGCACATGAGCAGGAACATACCTCCTAGGAGAAGAGCAGAGGAGTGCTAGGGGGGTGACAACATCATGTATCCTCACAATCTTCTCTTCTGCCCATGTGGGTAGTTGTGAGGTTTTTCTCAGGCCCCTCCAGAACCCAGAACCCATTTTTCTTCAGCTGTATTTACGTTCTTGTCCATAAACTGAGTGGCCTCATAGACCCTGTGCTATCTGCTCTGTGGATTGATGATGGTGTGTAACAGGCCTTATTCTGTGCAAATTGTTAGCCTTGTTGGTCTTGTGATTGCTTCTCTAAGGCTCCTCAGCCACGTTCTGTGCTGAGGTTCGGTGTTTGTGGGCAGCCTTTGAGCTGTCTCTGGTGTGGTGGTGGAACAATTCTTCAGGGCCTGTACAGGAGGGTCCTAAGTTATCTTCTACTTTGATGGCGCTGACTGTTGGTTTCTCCTCCTCAGTTGTGTGCAGCTTTCTTACAGGCCCAACAATCACTTCTTTCCCATTCCAGCTTTTCAGATGTTGGACCTTCTTCATTTGGCCAATACTGTGTTTTTCTGGGTTCCTGTTGCTACTTTCTGAGTTTACTTTTTGTCTGCTCTTTCTCTGTGCACAGTTCTTGGAGGAGAACCTGCTTGACCATTACCTCTGTGGCAGAGAGGGTTAAGCTTTCACTTTGTGTGCCACCCCGAAATGGGGCATGTTTATTCCATTTCCCTTTTATGAAATGGTACAATTTTCTTAAAGGAATTTTGGACTGAGCATCAGGATTTTTAAATATATATGCTTCTTAACGTTTAGTGCTGTAATCCTCTCAGCCTGGGTAGCAATCTATTTGCTCGCTTCCCCAGTCTCCTGTTGAATGCCTCTGCTCTGGTGTGCCACATCTGTCTGCCAACAGCCTCCTTGCGGTGGATGAGGTTTTAAGAGCTGCTGCTACGGTGAAACTTTGGGGTAGCACAGGCAGAGCTGCTTCCACTAAATTCTGCAGATGCCCGTGGAGACGGCTGGAGGCTTGTGACTAGAAAGCAGTTAGTGTCGTGCCAGCACCAGGCACATATGAATTTGGCTGAAGACTGAAACTTCTTACCACAGCTTCATTACAGGGAGTATTAAAGTCACTGTGCCAATAATGGCAGAGCAGGCTTGTTTTAAAATGATCGTTTTCTGCCTAAAAATGATGGGATTTTCTGGTCTCTGAGAGTGGCTGTCGTGGAAGGGAACACCCTTCTGCGTTCAAATTGCTCCTGCAGGATGCGTCAGAGCTTGCAACGGTTTCGCCTGCATCAGGCTCTCCCGCGCTCTTCGATGTTGTCCCCTAGGGCAGATTCCACCGCTGGTGGCTACAGGTTTCCGGGCTGTTTTCATGAAGCTGGCACCAGCTTCTGGGTTTTCTGTGTTAAGCAGGATTTTACTGGGCAGTTTGACAGATTGGATTTGAGGGGATGTGGTGGAATATGAAACAATTGGAGTCAGTCATGAGGCTGGAGAGAAGCTGCCACTTGGAAGCTATGCGCTGACTGACAGAAGCGATGTTACTACAAGCCTCTCGCTCCAGTATTTTTGTCAGGGGCAAATACTTGAGCAGAAAACGAGGCACGCCCCACACCTCCCAGGGAGAGGCCGTGCGGAGGCGGGTAGGCATCTGGGGCTGGCCATCAGCTGCAGGAAGCTGGCCCGCGGCAAAGACGTGTCAGTCTGCGAGACGGCTGCAGCAGGCAAGGCACGTGGCAAACGCCGCTATATGGCG